ACGCTCCGGCCGAGCGTTGTTATTAGTATATTATTACTACTATTATACACCAGAATACCTGCATGATAAGCAGACAGAGACCAAGGATCCTCATCAAGCAGCTCGGGGCATTGCGCAATTCCTCAACCCAGGCAAGCAGCTTGCACCATCCATTGCTGGCATGCTTCTGCAACAAGAGAGCTGGCCCCTAGAAGAAGGAATAAGGGACCCGTTTGGATCGGGGGATACAGGCAGGCCCCATTCCTGGGAAACTCACGCCCAAACGCTGAATCCCAAAGTCTTAAACACTACGGTTGATTCATGTGGTGTGGTTAGTTACTTGCCACTTGGCCTTGAGCACAGCGCCTGTTTGGGCTGTCAATCTAGGTACTAATTTGAACCATAGACTCAACTCCTAATATCCCCCTTAATAACCCCTATCGTACCCTAAACCCTAAACCCTATAGTAGTCCCCCATGTAATCCCCAAAAGTAACTCCCCTTGCAGGAGTTTAGACTACAGCTCATTTCGGGTTCAGTTGCTCCGGGTTGATATTCGCTACCCCAACCTCCTTAAAGGGGGTTACATTTGGAGTTGGATAAGGGACTACTATAGGGCTTATTAACAGAGAAACTTGGAGTTTAGACTGGCTCATACAGTTTTAGCCTGAGTCGCCACATGCAGCAGCCTTTGTGCAGGTGGCTTCCTTCTACTGGGGGCTCCCTTCACTGATGGTACCCCTCCCAGTGTTTGGCCAGTTATCCAAGAAACATGGTTCTGTCTTGGGAGGGCCCTGCGTATTCGAGCCCGTACTATACAAGGTAACCAAGAATTGCTAACCTTCCATGTAGAGATTGCAGGGCGTTGTGATTATGCTATAGGGATTATGCATGGCCCCTTTTCTTGAACTCCCATGTGTGGCTCGGCCGTGATCTTGAGGAGTACATGGCTGCCCAGACGACTTCTTCCGCTACACGCCAGAACTTCAGAAAATTGACAGCCATGCAGGTGAGGGCATGTATACATACATGTGTGTATATGCACGTAAATGTGCACTTTCAATCATATTCGCTTGCGGTCGTGGGTGCACATGTTTGTTTTTACATAATACACATGTAGTCATTTGCAAGTATACATCTGCATGATGATAGAATGATAGATAGGTAGATAGATAATATGGGTGGTTGTCAAGATTATGGTCCCTTTTTGGGTCCCTATTATAATACGGCACCTAATATTTAGGGCACCCAAAAAAAGACCATAATTTTGACAACCACCCATATGAGAATGAGCTGTGCTTTCAGAAGCATGGGAAGCTACAGGGACCTTTCTACAAAGCCGAGGCCCCACGGACTGCGCAAGGTTGCAGAGGGAGCCAACCTGGAGGCTCCTCCACGTATGAGAGTACTAGTGCCCAGAGCCCCTAAACGATCCCAAAAATGGAACCCCCTAATAACCCCCTAGCCAATGTAGTAGTGGGTTCATGTTGGGGGACTTCATTTTTTGGATCCTCTAGGGGGTCTGGGTAGTAATAGCCATGAAAGGAGTAATAATAATCATAATACAAAAGATGAACTGTAGCAATAGTAAGAATAGCAATAGTAGTAAGAATGGTAATAGTAATAGCAATGGTAGTAATATTTGTTATAGCTTCATAGACTTGCTTCAGGGTTTAAGGTTTGGGGGCTTTAGGGATTAAGGGTTTGGGGGTTAGGGTGTAAGGGTTTTAGGGTTTAGGGTTTGGGGATTTTAGGGTTTAGGGTTTAGGGGTTTTAGGGTTTAGGATTGGGGGGTTTTGGGGTTAAGGGTTTGGGGGTTTTGGGGTTTTGGGGTTAAGGGTTGGAGGGCTTCGGGGTTTAGAGGTTTTAGGGTTTGGGGGTTTGGGGGTTTGGGGTTGAAGGGTTTAGGGGTTTTAGGGTTTGGGGGTTTGGGGCTGAAGGGTTTAGGGTTTGGGGGGGTTCAGGTTTTAGGGTCTAGTGTTCTAGGGTTTAGGGTTGGGGCTAGGAAACCCCACTGAGACATGGCTTTGCAGGTTTATGTTTTTACGGCTTACGAATTGTTAAATCGGGCTTTTGGAGAATCGTGTCAAAAGAAACTGGAAATCGAGATAAAAACTGGGTGTATTTAGGTCTCATAGAGATAGTTTTATAGAGCCCAAACATTACTACGGCTACTACGGTAGCTATGAAAGAATGTAAGCGAATGCTACTTGCCAGGTCTCAAAATGTCAAGCTGCGTTCGGCCATGTAGGAATACCATGGATTCCCTGTACATAAGACTGGTGCCTCTCAAGGAAATCCACCTTCCCCCTAAACTGACATAAAACCCCAACCCAAAACCCCAAACCCTAAACCTCTACACGACTGAAGGTTTAGGACCTCGCTCTTTGGGAAGAAAGAGGGTTAAGACGGTATGAGGGGAATGTCTTAGGAGGAGCCCCCACCCTGTGATAGTGGTATAATTATAGGAATATAAGAGGACCCTAATATATATAATCCTTATTATCCATGGTCCATAGTAATCACTATTTCTGGGTTGGGGGGTCCACCTAAGGAATGTCTACTATTTGGGAAAAAAGAAAGATCTTCAGCTGCAAGGCGAGGCTTACTCTTCTCTTAAAAAGCCCTGAAGCCCCAGGTGATTCTAAGTCCCAAACATCCACATGATCCCTCGAAACCCTAGGCCCCAAACCCTCA